ATACCCATCCAAATACATGTGCTCTTGATTTGAAAGAGTAGAATGTGGGTAAAATGTAAAATTACAAAAAAGTGAGGTATATTTTGATAATTCTTTCTTTTTATTATTTTCAATTTATTGAATCAAACCATTCATATTCATATCGGTCACTTTTAGGATTATGATGGGCCTTAGATAAGAAAATGGTAAGGGGGACCAAAACAATGACCATGTTAAATTTATGACATGTAATTTTCGAACAACATTCAAAAGAAATAAAAATTGGGTTTGTTAGGGTACTCCTACTAATAGAGTATTTATTTAATGTACTGAGCATTTTGGATATTAGATACCCTTACCGTACAATGTAGTAACTTTTTTGTCTATGAATATTTTAGACAATTAATCAAAAATAAAATATGAATTCTAGATACAAAAAAGTATTTATTAGCTATAGTAGATAATGACATCATACACATAAGATATAGTATTATCCATTGAGTTTTATAACAATTAATAAAATACCACTAATTTTTTAAAAAATATCTATTTTATCATTCCCAATGATGAAAAATATTATTTCTCCAAAAATTTGGTAATACAAAACAAATAAGGAGTGTCAAATAATACTGAGTACATTTACAAGTCAACATCATGAAAAGAGATTGCAAATTCTAAAATCCATTTTTGCTATTTTTACCCCTTATTGTATACGCAATCCTTCTCATTGGGTGAGCATTTGAGTTGAATAAAGTAGGCACCGAAATAACTACACTGTATTCTTGGTGTATAAATCTATTGCAATGTTCATATACTAAACTTATATCGGAAAAAGTTTATATAAAGTTGACACCTTAAAATATTGAGTAAAAGTGTACCTCTAAAATCCTTTGAAAAGGGTTTTCTTGATATTGGATCGAGATGGCATCGAGATGCATAGTTATGGGGAAAAAAAAAGATTACAAGTCTTTAAAATAATACATCTTACAGCATATTATCTGGATTATGTATTTTTAAAATTTTCATGTGCTTATAAATCTGTTTGATTTAAAATATTTTTAGAGTTTAAATTTTAAAATTAAATATAAAAATAAATTCTCCCACTGTCTTATTAATTTTCGACACCAAAATTGCATGATAAGGTTTGGGTGCACACTTAGATTTCTTAAGATCTATCTGTGTCAATCACTGGCAACAATGACTATTCCTTTATATGATGACTTTAGATTCTTCTTTGTCTCCTCACAAACAAGTAGGAGTCGTGATCCATGAGGTTTCTTTCCATACAATGGATAAAGATGGCGCGCAAATTTTGTGGACTTGTCTTTGAATCTACAGTAAAAGGATTTCATTTTACTTTTTTTTTTTCCAACTTTTTCATTTTTATTGCAAAATTTAATAGTCCCAAAAGAATTGATTCCAATCAATAATAAGATATTTGACAAAATAATTTATCTTTACACAAATAGAGTCTAGAAAACAAGCTTTTCTTGTATTTTATTTTTCTTATTTTCATTTAAAAGGTGAGGGACTCGACCAAACTATATTTATTTTTAATTACATTTTCATAAATATTTTTATAATTGAAAATAAAGGATTTAAAATATATTTATTTCTAATATAGTATTCAGTTAACCTCTACAAAGATCAAGATATGATAAAGTTTAAATTGATATGGATATTGTGTTATCGCACAAATTATGGACTTGTTCAAAACTAAGTATAGCTTCAGCCAAAATTTTGTAAAATACAACTATTCAACCACATCGTTTGAATGATATTCAGGTACCTCAATGTCTTTAGAATTTCGTTTGGAAATTTAAGACCATCTCATATTTTAGTTTTTCATATTGTTACGGCTCATAGTGAAACTGAATGTTCAGTCCAGTGTTGAAAAAATCAAACCGGCCTCATAAACTGATTAAGAGCTAGTTCCAAGTAATTGGTAAACCGGTCAATTCAACTGTCCTAACCGAGCTGGTCTCTACCGGTTCAAAAAGTGTTAAAAATAAAAAATACAAATTTTTTTAAAAAAATATGAAAATATATCTAAATCATGATTATAACAAAGCACATTGAAAAAATAGATTTAAAAAATCGATTTACATCCAGGGGTATTTTTTAAAAAAATAAAAAAGATGAAAAATGTGAAAATAAGTATTCATTACCAAAACACTTTCCAATATTTTCCAAAATAATAAAAAACATTAAAAAATTACAAACATATCCCAAAAAATAAGGGATTTTATATTCATTTTTTTTAATTTTTTAAAAATATCTGGCTGGACCACCGAAATAACATAGGCTAGCGTCCGATACCGGTTTGACAGGCCAGTTCTAAATTCGACCGGTCGAGTTTGCGAACCTAGTCTGCATACAAAAAATAGCATAACTTTATATCCCCAAAACTGGGCCAAAAGCTTCATCCAGTCATTCAAATTTCATTATCAGATGAAGTAAAAGGAATCAAAATCATGTGCCAAAAATTTGGACAAAAACTGTTAGCATCTTTTTGCCTTCTCCTAGTTAAACCGTATATCATCCACTCGAATTTTTTTATTTAGAAAAGACCATCAAAATACGCATGATCAGGAGTTAGTATAGTTGACAATGACTAAAATATTAAATAGTTGCTAAATTAGATATATTTTGATAAATTCTTAAAGTAGTGTATCATATCATGTATTGGAGGATACCATAATTATCTTTAATCGTCAAATGTAAAATTTGATAGCTTGAAAGATATCATATACTTTTAAAATGTTCTTTAAACTTTTAGCCAAGTTATTGGAGGTAATTGTAACTCCTTGTATCAAATACAAACGAATCTCTTTGTGTACTTTTCTTAAAATTAAAGGAAATTTATAGAAGAAACCTATTTTATTTTTGTAATTCAAACATTTCCACTTTTTTAAAATATATAATGTCTTTTAATTTTATAATTTTTTGTATATCAGATTAGGCTCAAATTTGATACATTAATATTTCTCACTATCACACACCTTCATAAAATATTAAAAATAATATAAAATAAATATAATTTATTTAATATGATGTTGATAAGTATGAAAATATCAAATTTGAGTTTAATCTAGGTAAAATTAAAATATACTTTCTAGTAACAAAAATAAGACTTGAGTGTAAAATATAAAATACGGAAGACAATTTTTATATTTTAAAAACAAAAGAGAACATTTGTATATGCTACTACGTATAGGAAACTCATATATGCCGTCGTCTCCTAGCCATCCAACTTGAATAGACTGCTGGGATAGCTTTAGCTATAGTGTTGCAAGTAAACATCTGACGATTTGATCTTGAATTGGTGACTCCTAGCTATAGTGTTGCAAGTAAACATCTGACGATTTGATCTTGAATTGGTGACTCGAAATATTTTAATTTTTTCTAGGAATCACGTGAACATGATATTTGGGCCATGTACTTCTCTCATAGGGCAGACCTAAGAAAAAGATAAAAAGTATTTTCGACGGTATAAAATGAAAAACTATTCCTAAAATTATCAAGGGTATTTTGGTTATTTTATTTTATTGATAATACATTTTTATATTTTTTAAGTGTGCCCTTATGTGAAGATGGAAGGCCTCAAATTTGTTATTGATATGACTTATAAAAAAACAAAAATTATAATAATATTTAGTCAGACAACTTTATGACTTATAATTACTCAAAAGATTTCCTAATTACCAAAAAGGATTTCCTACTCCCCATCTGGAGTATACTATCGATCTACTCCCTCGGTCAAGTTACATACTAGGGATACTTTGTAGATCTCAAATTTTGGGGATATAATTCTTAAAACCCATAAAATAATCTTTTTTCTTCAAAATAAACTTTCTATGTACCGGAAAAAACTAATGCCTCAAGATTGAGACCGTCCAACTTTTGAAGGGGAAGAAGTAAATATCACAAAACTCAAAATTTATTTTTATTTTTTTAAAAATAATCATCGTCTATTACTTTTTATATTGTTCCAAAAAAATTAGACTAAAAAAGGGTGTAGTTTCACAATATGCTCCCGCTGGGGCACACTATATGTGCTCTATTGGTTAAAGCCATTTGGAATCTTGATGCTGAGCTGCTAACTATGGCGAATGTCCTAACGACGAATGTGCTAACTATGTATATGACGTCGAAAATGGATCGGTTTGATATCACCCCTCAATTAGAATTAGCAAAAACAATGTCTCCTTGCATAATATGGATTCCAAACATTCATGATTTGTATGTGAATGAGTCGAATTACTTATCCCTCGGTCTATTAGTGAACCATCTCTTCAGAGATTGTGAAAGATGTTCCACTAGAAAGATTCTTGTTATTGCTTCGACTCATATTCCCCAAAAAGTGGATCCTGCTCTAATAGTTCTGAATAAATCAACTACATGCATTAAAATACGGTCGAATGATGTTTAGGAGAAGAAGGGTGGCTAGGAAAAGGGTGGCATATATACTTTTCCGTTGCCCGGAGGAAATTCTTTTGTAAATTTCCTAAATTTAGACATTACTTTTACTTCTCTCTCTCTCTCGTAGACAAGAGGAATTTTTTTCGATATGAAATTTTGGGAACCATTTATAAATTACTAGATGATTATTCTAAAAACAAAATAAAATTTAAAGTTTGAGTTTTTGATCAAATTGATGATCTCTATTCAACCTCGAGACATTATTTTTTTAAATACATATAAGATATAAATTTATAATTTTTTATTAAAATTAATCTCAGAGGTTACTTCCCCAAAACTTGAGATCCTAATTTCAATTATGTATTACCTGATTGGAGTAAGTGGATATTATGCTTATGGAGGAATACGATTTCTTTTGGCAAAAAAAATAAAATAGCTAAGGATTCAAATGTCATAAAGAAGAAGTAAAGGGTACTTAACATCATATATCAAGGATTATCTTGAAAAATGGAGATTATGACCAAACACTCCACTAACACAAGGGCACCTAATAACACTAAGACCTTATTAGCCCTTTACACGCTCAGCATTCGACACTATTGTCGGGGCGAGAGACAATGACGTGTTCCACTTCCTTCCTCGCACGTTACCCCAACATGCCCTTGCCCAAAACCACTCTCTCTCTACAAAGTTTTAAGCTCTCTCTCTCTCTAGAAACCAGGATAAAAACCGCTTTTCAAGTGCAACGGGCCCTTCTATATAAGATGGGCGGTTTTTACTTGTGCGGGTTTTTTTCACAGGATTCAGCCCCCCCTTCTATCTATCCACAACGAAGAGGAGAGAACAAAGAAGAGTCAAAACAGGTTTTGAAGGCATAACACAGGTTTTGTGCAGGGAAGGCATGGATTCCACGCTATGGTTGATTGATTTGAAAGAGATGGGTGGTTTGGAGTGGTTTTATCGGATCTGAGGCCAAGTGGGAGTTTTTTTTCTCTGTGAAAAGAAATTGGGTTCTGGTTTTCTCGGCGTGAAAGCGAAGGATTTCGGGTTTCTGGATTTGGGGTTTTGGGAGGAAGAAGGTGGGAAGCTCACAGTGACATTGCTGTGGAATTTACAGTGTTTGGTCATAGATTTGCTTGAATCTCAATCCAAGTGAGCGGTTTCTCTTTCTCTGAAAAGCCTATAACTCTTTTCCTCTCTGCAAAATCCAGGAGTTTTTGCTTTTTGTTGGGGTGATATAGAAGCAAGGATTTTCTGGTTTCTGCCTTCTTATTCCGGGGTTCCTTACCGATAAAAGCTCTCAAAGCATACTTCAAAGGATTTATGGTTTTTACACCACAGAAGAAAGAAGCCTCTATAAACCACATTTGAGAGGTTCGAGTTCGAGATTTCCTCATGAAAAGCAACTGTTCCTCTTTCTCACTCCGCAACAATCAAAATCCTGATCTCTAAATCTTGTTTCATTTGGCTCCAAGAAAGCTACAAAGCTCAAGACACAAGCATAGACTTCTCCTTCCTCTATTTTGGGCCTGTAATAAGCTAAAAGTAAGGTTTTCCTGGTCTTCTCAGCTGACTGTTTTTTTTGGTTCTCTTTTTTGGTGGATAGGCTTCTGTACCGAAACAAGGCGAAGAGAGTTGTGGAATAAACCACATTCTGGGTGGTTCTTCATTCCAAATTTGTTGTAATTTCTTGAAGGTTAAACCAGTAGGTGCGTCCTGGCAAACAGGTGGTGGGGCGGCAATGTGGGGATGGGCGACCCTAGCAACGAGCCCCCCGGTGGGCCATCCGCCCCCACCGGTCTTGGCCTTCTTGGTGGGTCTTCCCTAAAACCCCAAAACCACCACACCGAGGAAGCCCAGGAAGAGAGCGAGCCCCACGATGACACGCAAGAGGGAGGGGGCGAGGACGCTGGGGCTGAGGGTGGTGCAACATCGAGCGGTGGTGGGGGTGGGACACGACGGCCGCGGGGCAGGCCCCCAGGGTCGAAGAACAAGCCAAAGCCACCCATCATCATCACACGGGAGAGCCCAAATGCGCTGCGCAGCCACGTGCTGGAGGTTGCTGGGGGCGCCGATGTCGCTGAGAGTGTTGCTGCCTTTGCCCGCCGCCGGCAACGAGGGGTTTGCGTCCTCAGTGGAAGCGGTGTTGTTGCCAATGTGACCCTCCGTCAGCCCGCTGCACCGGGTGCCGTCGTCACCCTCCATGGACGCTTTGAAATCCTATCGCTCTCCGGTGCCTTCCTACCTGCGCCCTCGCCCCCTGCTGCCACGGGCCTCACTGTATACTTGGCTGGTGGTCAAGGTCAAGTGGTGGGGGGCAGTGTGGTGGGTGCCCTCGTTGCTTCCGGGCCGGTGATGGTCATTGCAGCCACTTTCTCGAATGCTACTTATGAGAGACTGCCGTTGGATGACGATGCAGAGAGTTCCGCACAAGGCCAATTGACCCCAGCAGCTCATGGTGGGGAGCAAGGGAGCAGTGTGGTGCCGGGGTCCATGGGGTTGCAGTCGGAGATGCCAGTGTATAACCTTCCGCCGAATTTGATGCCCAACGGGCAGCTGCCGCATGATGTCTACTGGACCCCGCCACCTCGGCCCCCTTATTGATGGATTCTAAGGCTGCTTGTGGTGGTGACTTCTGTTTTGGTCGAGTGTTTTAGTGAGGAGGAGGGGCCATTTGTCTCTCGACCTGGTTACTCTTTCTCATGAAGTGAAGAATGGTGGTGGTGATATCTTGTTTTCTTCTTGAGGATTTTGGTGTGCACATATGGGCCTGTCTGATGTTTCCTATGTCCACCTTTGGTTTTTACAAGCTTTTTGATATTGAGTTGCTGATACATTTGTTGCCTCTCTCTCTCCCGGACTACTCTCTTGTAAACTCCTGTGATTGATATTTGTTGCTTCTGTTTTTTTCTCCATGTTCTCTCAGACCCAACTCTCTTTTGAGCTTCTGTGATTGATAATTCTTGCTTCTGTTTCGCTCTATGTTCTCTCTCTTCTTGTCTTTTTATTCCCTTGATGTTTTTTGGCTCTTTATTTTTATCGCTTTCATTCTCTTTTGAGTTTTAATTTCTGACTTCTTTGTTTTCTCTCTACCTCTCTTTTGAGCTCTGTATTTTTTTAACACACTCTCTCTCTCTCTCCAAATATGACATATCTGGTAGTTCTTGTTTTGCTCTCTCTCTCTCTCTCTCTCTCTCTCTCTCTCTTTTGGTCTCTAGGACACTCACTTGTTTGTTGTAGGGTGAATGGATGCAAAACGGAACTGCAACGAGGGAGTGATGTCCTTCAATTCAAGTGCACCGACCTTCCCCACTGGTACGTTCACTGGTGTTTCTAGGGTTCTCTTGCTCTGAATTTTAGGACAAAGAATAGGACCAAAAATGGCAAAAAATGCGTAGGTACATCCCACATCTCCCCACTTGCACAAGTGTCCCCTAACCCTGAGAAATCAGTGGCTTTTTATCTGGACTTCTCCTGATGTGGTCCTCAAGTCTTGCATCCAATCCCTAGAGACACCGGAGTGACTTTGATATGACCCTTGAGTCTCTAATCTGTCTCGGCTTTAATGGGAAGTAAGGGGGTGATGAAATTATTATTAGGGCAAAAGGAGGGCAAACACACCTGTGTTTGACAATGAAAACCATTGGGTTTGGGTCGTGGGACTTTGCACCCACCCTAACCCTGTCTCTTCATGCACAGGCTTAAAGGGTTCTTTCACATCGTAGATTGTGTTGTTTCTTCTTCATGTATTATTGACCCTCATGGGGTGGGTTTGTTGAGACGTAAGGTTTCTTACAACTCATCATAAATGCAAATCCAAGTCTTCTAGGGCCTTTACGCTACTCATTCATTTGTGTTTTTTTTTAAATTTTTTAATTTTTTTGGTCTTTTGTGAGGATAGGGATGATTGTTTGTTGTGTATTATTATTATTGATATTACTATGAGAAGAGTAAAGTCATTGATGGATAGGGTTCAATAAAGTGGGTAAGACTAATATGTTAATAATAGAAAAAAGATTATATAAAGTGTAAGGATTCTACTACTTTAAGCAAGAGGTGCCTCAAAAAGCCATAGGAAAAGGTTGTTGATATACTAAAACCCCACAAATTGGCCCTCTCAACCTTAACATGTAAGTGTATAAAAATATTTTTTCAAATCATAAGAATGGTGCTTCTTGTAGAGCATTATCTGGACGGTCTATTTTCAAAAATTTTAATTATTTGTAGATATGCTCGATGTGAATCATTTTGGAACTTTTAAATTTTATTTTTAAATTTTATAATTAAGAGTGACGATAGATTTTTATGCCATTGGAAGTCCTTCTAGCACTAAACTGCATCTTTTGCTGTAGTTTTGAGGTGTGCCTTACATTGAACATCATTCTTAATTAGTATTAGTACGAGAAGAGTAAAGTCATTAATAAATGGGGTTGGATAAAATGGGTAATACTGATATGTTAAATGAGAGACTCATATTTTCTCTTCATGAAAATGATATCACTTGGGCTTTTATGGTCCTTCAAGTACTGAGGGGCTTGTAGTTTGTAATACTTTTAATTCAATGCATGTGCAAATATGGGTTGGAGATTTAGGATTTGTAAGCATGGGAGAACTTTGGGTCAGTAAGTTCGCCTCTCTTACAGCCTTCGAGTGGTCGATTTGGTTTGCTCCAAGAGGTAAGTGCCTTAGTAATGGTCTCAAGATTTAGTTATCGTTTGATTCTTTATTGAGAATTAAAGTAACCGTTGATTATTTTTTTATTGGGTGCTCTATGATCATGGAGATCAACAGTCGTTTAAGATGCAAAGATGAGAAACCTTTGTTTTTTTACCTTGCAAGTAAAGCTAAGGTTTAAACGGTGCTCCTCGAATAACATTCAATCCTTTGGTTTTGATAGCGTTCTTGTTTTGATAACTTGGGCCGGATGGATTATGAATTCTTTAATAGGTGAGGTTAGTATAAGGTGCACACCTTATACTATACAAGTAAGGCACCTCTAAATTTTGTTGATATATGTGTTTGAAACTTTTATGATGAGTTGAAAATCTTTGTTCAAATCTTAATTAAGAAATATAAATTTCAAAAGTTGTGCAGAGAGAGTGTATATATAAATACTTGAAAATAGATGGTCTCAATAACTTATTATTGAATGCACTACTTTTAGAATTTAATATTCCTCTTTTTTTTCTCGGCTCTATACAAACCTCACCTTTATTATAAAATGACATAAACAACTTTAGAAATTACTTATGCCTCTAAGTGACTAAAATTATTCGAAATAAATAAAAGACAAAATGATAGATTTAATAACTAATTTTTCCTTTTGTGGTTTCTCTTGTAAACTTTAAACTTCTCTATCTTGTCTAGATACTCGAGAATAGTATTCTAAGCTTCATCAGTCCCCCTTTCCTCAAAAGAGTTCGCTTTCGAATTCGGCGACGTTTTGTTAAAGGTATCACCACGATATTAAATGAGATGCTTGACATTAAAAAGCATCGGAAATGCGAATATAATTAGAAAGCTTCAATTTGCAAGCATGGTCATTAATATTTTCCAAAATTTTAAATGGCCCTACCTTGACGAGACTTGAGATCAAGGTATGCCATTTTACTGCACTCCTTATACACCATGCCTCAGGCCCATTAACAATTACCACACTAGCACAACACATTTGGTCCTGAACACAACGGAGAATACTCTACCATGAATTTTGAAGCGGCTTAAGATTAATGATGCATTACCCCCATGATTTTTTGCAATTCACACGTAGGATTAGATTAGATATAGAGGTTCACCCCAAAAAAAGGTAATGGTTGTAGTTAAACTCTAACATTAGGAATCATATAGGGAACCATTCAATGGCCACCTTCTATATTGAACTTACTAGCAAAAAGCTCATATGAAAATATCACTAAACAAATGTGGCGTACCTCACATGATACTCTATATTCAGGTAGAACTCCAAGAAGAAGAAAATCTATCATTATCTCCGTTGACACCATTATCCTCGCGCTTTATATAGTGACTAAGAAACTTGTTGCCTCTATTATTTTGAGAGCAACTCCTTGACATCCACCTGTGTTTCATAAGAAATAGGAGCATCCACAAAATCATCTCTAAGGGTAGGCTCTTCTTATTTCTTTTCATTGAAGGTAGGTTCACCAACTTCTTTATCATAAAATGATTCTTTTAACAAACTCAAATCCTCTCCAGGGTACACAATAGTGTTGTCCCCATCATAAAACTCTTGGATTTCACTCTTGAGATTGGTTTCCCACCTCCTACTATCTCTATCCATACGATCCTCTCTCCTTAGAGCTTGATCATAGAAGGGATTTATGGATTCTTTACTTGCCTCGCTGTCCTACTCCTGAGATGGAGCTTCCCTCTGTGCCAAATGCATAGCTAGAGTTTTGTCCAATTTCCTTAGATCTGCAATCCCTTATAGAGCTCTAACATAACCTTCTATATATATATATATATATATATATATATATATATTAGTTTTGTTTGTTATACTACTTACTATAGTATAGTAACTTAGTAATATACTATCGTAACGTAAACGAAAAACGAAAGTAAAAGTAAAC